CCTCATTTACATAAAAGGGTTTGGTCTTTTTTTTTTTTTAATTTTTATTCATTTTCAACCGGCCGAAATCCGGCCCGCGGGGCTGTAGTTTGCCCACGGCTGTACTAGCCCTAAAACTTTTCTGCTGCACTTCTTAAGAGATTTTTGATTTCAAGTGAGAAGTTCAAGTATCTCTAGTAAATCCTCTTAAATATCTCCTAGCCAAATTAGGTGTTAAATTAATGTTGACCAGGCATAAGCAAACCATGAGTAGTTTTGTCCGTAAGCTTTTATGAAATAAAGGGGATTTACTAGAGTTGATCAGAAAGACCAGTCACCATCATTTGCTCCCTAAAAAGGTTTAAGGCAGTATCTGCAAAGAACAGAACTTAAGAGACTTAAAAAAAAAAAAAAAAAATCAAAGGCAAATAGTTACTATAAGATTAATTTGTTTAGAAGAAAAAATTTAAAAGAGCTATATATTAAGATTTTACTAACTGTAGGTTCACACTAGTAACTTGATTCATTTATTCAGATTTAGGGGAAAACTTTACCTTAATCCTTAAGAAGAAAATATAAATGTGGATTTATTTAAACACCCTTGATTGAGGCAGAGCCCTTGTAAATTGAAATAAAGGTCTTGAGATTAAAAGCAATTTATTAGGCATGCAAACCTTCAGTAGTTATAAAATAACTGGCCTGGACTCTTCAAAATAGTCCATGTCATGAAAGTAAAAACAAGAGCAGAGGACTATATATTAAAAGAGATTAAAGAGACATAACAACCACATGCAAAGCATTCACCTTGATAGAATCATGAATGGGAAACAGGAAAACCATTACTGGGACAACTGGGGAAATGTAAACATGAACTATATCAGAGGACATTTATTCAGAATTAATATTACCTTTCTTTAGTGTGATAAAAATTATGATTATAAAGAATTATGTCCTTATTCTTAGGGATGAAGTATCATGAAGTCTGACTACTTTCAAAGGTTCAAGGAAAAAAATGTTTACATATCTATATAAAGTTACGATTGGTACATCTAGGTAAGGGGAAAAAAAGATACTGTACCATTCTTTCAACTTTTCTTTGAGTTTGAAATTTTTCAAAATAAAAGTTGGAAAGATAGTTTTAAAAAGTAAAAGTTAAAAAAATAAAAGTTCAAAAGCAGCAAAAAACCTAACTTGGGAAGAAGCCATAAGAAAAAAAAATTTGGAGCCCGGATGGTGTGGGTCAGTGGTTGAGCATCAACCCATGAACCAGGTCATGGTTGTATTCCCCGTCAGGATACATGCCCAGGTTTAGGGCTCGATCCCAAGTAGGGGGCATGCAGGAGGCAGCCAATCAATGCCTCTCTCATCATAGGTGTTTCTCTCTCTCCCTCTTTGAAATCAACAATAAAATATTTTTTTAAAAAAAATCAGAAAATGTGTTATGACACTCATATCCACATGCTTATTAGCTTATGCAACTAAAAAGCACAGATTACTCCGGCATGTGCCCTACTGACCTTGTGTCACTGAACACAGGCATTTTAAAAAAATGTGTTTTTTTATTATTATTTTAAAATCTTTTTTTACTTTGTTTTTATTGATTTCATAGAGGAAGGGAAAGGGAAAGAGAGAAAAACATTGACTGGCTGTCTCCAGCATGCCCCCTACAGGGGATTGAGCTTGAAACCTCGGTGTGTGCTCTTACCAGTAATGAAACCAGTGACCTAGCGGTGCATGGGATGATGCTCAACCAATTGAACCACATGGGCCAGGCTTTTTCAGCTCAAGAGCTAGGCCTCAATTTTGGGATAATTTGATCTTTCAAATTAATATAAAAATTAGACCTTATTTATAATGGACCTCACCCACCTTTCTGTCGAATTTTCTGAACCAAGTTATAAAAACACAAGATTAAATTCTATTGCTATAATGCTTTAAAATAACACTGGCACTAACCCTGTCGCTTTGATCCTCTTCTACTTCTATCTCATTTCTGAATGTAGGAACCAACTCCCTGCCTTCAGTCCAGCACATCCCTCGCCTTCTGTCTGACACGATACAAGTTTTACTTTGTCCTGGCTCCTGCTGCCTACGCCTTGCAATGGATGTGACATTGGGAGGTGTGTTGTACGAAGGAATTTTCTGCTCCCATTCCGAAATACAGGAAGCTACAGAGATGCTGCTGCAAGAGTTAGAGCGCCTATGTAGATGTGGCTGGCTCATGAGTTGCTGGCCGTTGGAAATCTGAGCAATATAGTTACCAGAAAGCTAAAAAAATTGAAAAGAAATTAATGAGCAAGACTGAAAAACTGAGAGAAAGAATTCATTACTTTTCTATAATTTAACACATGAAAATAACATTCTAATTATTTGTACTAAATTACTACATTTTTATACTAAATTTGTGTTTATACTAGATTAAAACAAATAGATGTCTGAGAAATATAATATAAAACAAAAAAACTGATTCTCATAAAAACAGTCACTACACAACTACATTACTAAATTACTACACAACTACAAATAACTTACAGGTACTGGCGATGGAGAAACAGATCTTTGAGCAGCTTTTTCTCGATCCCGCTCCCGAGAGGGTCTCTCTGGCTTTTCAGTTTTGGGTTCAGTAACAATAGCCTTCAGTTGTTTCAGTTTTTCATCTTTCACCCAGAGCTTATTTTGCATCTCCAGTTGTTTAGCTGCTACTCGACGCTCCTATGGATTATCAATGGTAAGGTATGTTCTAATCCAATTACACTATACAAGTACACCAGATTACTGAAACACTGTCATAAAAACTAGTTCTCCAATTCTTCCTGAGGTAACTACATTTCATAATGTTAATGAATTTCAAGGGTAGAGAAAGGAATGAACTGAATAGGCAACTACTGCCGCCACCACCAAAACCCTAACCCAGGTAGTCATTCAAAACACTACAATTTGAAATAAGTCACCCGTCTCTGCGATAGCAGAGGGATGAGACTCACGCATTCTTTCTCCCACTTCATTGTTGTTTCCGTCACCATGCCTTGCAACCTGGCCTCTAGTCTGCGTTTGTCAGAAAACTGTTGCTGAAGTT